CCTTGACACACCTTCATCTGCAGCGATCAAGATTGTAAGTGTAGCGTTTTCATGAGCAGTGTTTGAAAATGTGGTGTTTTTAGGACAATGTGTGCAGAATAATGCTCCACCTGCAGCACAAGGTGAGAATCATCTTGATTTCTTTATTGACAATTTGTATGGACATGTTTTCGATGAGAGTTCAGTAAATTGTTTGGTTTTTTGTTGGGCCCCTCCATGAAAACCGTGATTTTTCTCACATACAAGTGCGTATGACTGCGAAACCTCTTCTTTGATATTTCAGCGGGTACCCAGTGTCTGAACGCTGTCGTTCTGGGTGGAAAAGTCACTTATGACGCTAATGGGACACATCAGGTTTGAAGATTTTACGTGCTCTCATAGAAAATATTACTGAAGGTTGCCGAGAAAGAGAATGCGCTGAGCGCTCGCAGATTGTGCTAGTATCTGGGACCAAAAGAGAAGCTGTACTGCCTTTGGGAGTGGTAAGGATATAGTCGGGTGAGAGACTACCTGCTGGATTTGTTTTCCGTGAACCGAATCGCGAACTGGCTAGTAAAAACTGTGACAATCAGGGCACTTCAAGTTGTTGACTTTTTCATGTTTTCCCGTTTCACGTGGGTCATGCCCGTCCCCGATGCCCACCCTCCCCACCCCGCGGTAGTTACTCTGGAAACTGGAGAAACTCTTGAAAAAAAAACAGCAAAAATGGGGGAGAGGGCAGAAGGAAGACGGTATATAGGATAGCAGTGAGGAAAGGAGAGCGTAGAGGAGGAGACCCTTGAGAGGGATCGCATTTTGCGAAGTTCTCACCCAACGGCTGGGTGAAATACATGGTGTCATCGGGGGAGGGTGGGTGTAGAAAGAACCTCGCGCTTGCTGCGCATTCATCAGAATTCACATTGCACTTCTACCTGCTGTCAATCCTTATCCACCATGTCAAACTATGCTGCGTATTCCTGCTCTCAACCGCTTTCCTTTCTGGATAGCTGTGATCATCTAAGAACTCACACGAGCTTCACTTGCTGATTGCTAATGTACACTTTTAAGTGGAACAAGCCTGATGGTGCAACAGTCACAGTTGAATGTAACCGAGGTTATGAGCTGAACGGCCCCTCTCAAGCCAAATGCTCGAATGGCATGTGGACCCCAACTCTGGGAATTTGCCTACTGAAAACTTGCACCAGATTATGTGAGTGACATCTAAATAATCCAGATTTCGCTGATATACTTATACTATATTTTTTAGTGCCGCCCGTGCAGCCATGCTCTGCTTTAGCGGCTCCTGCTGGCGCTTCACTCACTTATTCGAATAGCAGCAGTGCCCAGTTGTTTGCATCAGGGACCTTGGCCATAATGAACTGCACAACCGGCTATCCCGAAGGTAAAACACTGATTCATCTGTGCATGTGCAGGCGCCTTTGGAGAAGTGAATACCATTGAACAGATGCTCTGAAAGCTTGACTTTCACCAGGGTCGTAAGAACAGAAACATGCCTATTCTACGGGTACATTATACCTTTTCATACCTGAGCAGGTTACCCTAAGGCTGTGCAGGCAGTTTGTTGAATTCCCCATCTTGAAATTTGAGTTCTAACCCATTCGTGAAGAGTTGTGTTTTTCGAGAGCTGCTTGTACATACCGCAGCATGTGCAGGCCTTTGAATAGCGTCCGCCGCCAGCGGTGGATACTGTCCCTTGTAACCCTTTTCAAAGGTTTACGTGCTTGTCTTCGGTTAAAAGTTGTCTGTGGGGGTAGGTCATAACTTAAACATGAACATTACATTTGCTTTTAGGCGCCGTCTCATCGACATCGATAAAAACGTGCACCATAGCGTCATCTGATATCTTTACTGCGGAAGCCTCCTTGGCGCCGGCGCCATTTGGCGCCAGGATGGAATCGGTGTCAACGTGCCGCCACAACTTTCCTTGAAAATTCGTTACAAACGTGGGCTCAATTGGATCTAAATCACGAATATGACATTCATTTTCAGAGGCATCGTATTTCAACACTCTGATTAGGCTGGGCATAAGAGGAAGAGTAATAACGAATGCACTCCAAATATGCCAAGTTTAATTGCCTTTGGTGTAATTCGGTTGCGTTGAGGCGGTTTGGCGCGGAATGGGTTGAAATGACACCTGCACCAAGAACGGAATTCGTATTAGTGATCAGGATCCCAATGACCCAGTGTGCGAGTTTGTACAGATTCCAATGGAAAGGTGGTAGCTCCCAGTTAGCACCGATAATGAATGAACGTCATATTCGAGATGAGACCCTGTGCTACTACACAGTGTAGTTTTGACGTCTCTGGTGAAAGACGTCATGGCCAATGTTGGCACCAGCACCATCCTGGCGGCAGATGGCGTCATCTCCAAGAAAAAAAAAGAATGTCACCACCAGTAGCGGCCATAGTCACGAACTGGCTGATGTATATTTCTTGGACAAATTGAGAACAAACTTCCAAGTTTCGAAGTACTTATTTTCGAGCATTGAATTCATTTCCTTGGGCGGGACCTAGCTGTGGAAAAAACGCTCATCCAAAAAATGCAAAAATCCAGGGAGATGCAGTCACGGCAAAAAGAAGGCTCGGAGTTCATCTCCTAGAGAGTGCAGAGGGTCAAGCCACATACAAGTTGCCATTGGATTTCACTTTTATGCAGTCGTAATCCGACTTGATGGGCTCTTATTGGTATCGTTTGCTTGACCGTAGCTCTTCTACCTAAACACTTTCATTACAGGACCGAGAGCTGCTTCGTGCACCAACGGAACCTGGACACCCTCCAGTCTCGGGACATGTACTCCAATGGCAACTCCCCCCACTGCTGCTGGTAAGATTTCTGAAGCTGTGGAAATTCTGTCACGGTGACCGACTGCTTGAACTATTAGGTTGTCCGGAAAGTTCTTAGCGTTTTGGGTGTTTCACTTTAAAGCGATCGTAACTTTCTTAACACTCATCGGATTTAATCCGAAATAAGCACCATTCGAATCAGCACACTTTTGCCAATGTGGCAGCAGTCGAGAAATCCCATAAAAAAAAAAACTGGGTGGTCGAGAATCCACGAAATCTACGAAGGTCTTTTTTGCCTGGTCCTAATTGATGAAGTATTTTTCAGCAAGGAAGTTCTGAAAATGTTTGAAAAGGTGATAGTCGGTTGGTGAAAGGTCTGGAGAATATGGTGGTGTGAGGTAGAACTTCAACCCCAATTCGTTCAATTTATGGATAGTGATTTGTGAAACGTGTGGGCGGGCGTTGTCATGCAAAAGAATCGGACCCTTTCTTTTGATAAGTGTTGGCTGCAGCTGACAATATTCGGTACATTTGGTCGGTTTGTTCACAGTAGGGTTCTGCTGTGATGGTTTGGCCTGGTGATGAAAAGTTATAGTGGATTACAACAGCCGATGACCACCAAACCTGACCAGAATTTTTTTTTCGTGAGGGTTCGGCTTTGAAAATTACCTCGGTGGTTCCTCCAAATCCAACCACTGTCCGGAACGTCTCCTGTTATCATACATGATCCATTTTTCATCACAGGTGACAAATCCGTTCAAAAACGGGTCAATTCTTTTGCGCAAAAGCAGTGAAGAAGGAACCTCGAGACGTGCCGATTCCTGCCGGTCACTCCGATTGTGGGGCACCTAATTGTCGGGTTTTTTCACCTTCCCAATGCGTTTCAAACAATCTACAACACTGGATTTGCCAACGCCTAGCTTTTCTGCAATCTCTCGAACTGTTTGGGATGGGTCAGCCTTCAAAATCCCCTCAAAATCCTCGTCAGATATTGCTTTAGGTCGACCGCATGAGGTTCATCTTCAAGGCTGAAATCTCCAGAACGAAATTTGTTGAGCCATTGCCGCACAGTGCTTTCTCTAGCACTATTGGGCCCCCACCTGGTTAATTTGTTGAGCTGTTTCGATTGCGGATTGCCCCAATTTATAGTCGAAGAAAAAATCGTCCGAAGTGCTCTTTTCACATGCTTGAAAAAATCTTGAAAAAAGGGGGTTTATCAAGCAATGGTGAAACGGCAATTATACCATCAGATAGCGCAAGAAATTCTCTACAGGATGTGCTACTGAGAAGCAAGGCAGAATGAGTTTTTAATCAGCAGTGAATGTACAAAAAATAGGTGCACAAAACGCTGAGAACTTTCCGGACAACCTAATATAAGATTTTGATGGAAAACTCTCAACTACCACTTGATTCCTTGACCTTAGTATATTGATAGACGCGATTATTTTTAAGATTCAGGAATTCAATAGTAACAGGTCTTACAAACATCTACTAGTGTAGGGAGGTTGTTTCAATAGTTCACTTTCAGGAAAATGCTCGCCAAAAGTTGTTCTCAACGGACGCGTTGACTACAGTGATAATGGCGTGTTGAAGGTGGGACAACACTGAATAAGCGTCTTCTGACCACTTTTTCAGTTCAGAATTTGACCATTTGAATGGTTTCATGCTTTCCAGACTGAATCTTGAACTTAGCCACCCTCTTTCTTGAGCGATTCCGTGTAATCAGGAAGACATTTCAGTTCCAAAGAGATGACGGAGCGATGGCTACGCTAACCTGTTTTTCGAATATGGTTCCCGAAGGACCCACTTCGTCTTACTGCCAGAACGGGACTTGGACGCCTGAACTTGGTACTTGCTACGGTCGTTGTCTGCGATGAGGTCAATTAGATTAGAAGAGCTTCTGAAATAAATTGTTTCACTTTGTCGGAGCACAAAGAAATATTCAGGCTTCTCTTTTTGAACGAGAGATACAGTGGGAAGATCGCGAAAAACATTGCCTCACTGGTGCCCTCCTGATTTTCCTCGACATTCACTGTTGTTGACAAACGGCTTCAATTTTCTTGTAGAATTTATCGAAAGCAGAGAGCGCATCATTCGGCAACGGAAACTGCAGAAAACGCTAAAAATGTGTTGTCATTCCAAAAGTCAGAGTCGCTCTAGTCTCAGAAAAGTGTATCGGGCTATTGCAACGTCTTTCCTTATGAAAACGTTCCGGGTCTAATCAAATAGCGAACCACTGAAACTGAGGCTAGTCTAACTCTGTTGTTCTTTCTTGAACTGAGGAAAAAAACAGCATCATAGGTGTCTCTAAGCGGCAATATCCCTCCGGCAACGTTGGAATGAAGTGCAGTCACACCCTCCCTATCTCCGAGATATGGTGTGTAGTTACTAGAAATCGAGAAGAATAAAATTACTCTGTGCGGTGCCTTTCGGTCGCTTCCGTTCTGTTGAAAATGCCTTCAGCTTGTTGTGGAACACCGCTACACGGACAGCACGCGGGCACAAGGAGACGCATCGTTTTGGTCGGTTTCCTAGACAATCCTTAATGTACAAAGTTCGAAAAAAAGTTTGAAAATCAAACTGAGATTTGCTACTATGATCGTTAAGAAAGAGATGGAATGATGAGAAGATGAACGAGTAACGGTGTTCCGGACTGGTAAAGCAATTTAGGGACTACTTACGCTCTAGACTTCTCATTCTCTAAGTACCGGTGTTACATATAAAAAGCCGTAGCCCCACTTGGTAATGCCCATGGAAAACTAGACAACGATGTGATGTTCCTCAACTGGTGCATCACTTGCTCGAGAGACGATAAAGCATTTTAGGTGTTTAAATGCTGCACCCTCTCTTCGCTGGGTTTTCTTTATGTTGCAAATCCTGAAACAGTTACAAAAGTCCACTTGCTCCACTTGTTCTCATCCACTTTCTGCAGTCGGTAGGTTGCATAACGTTAGTAACTGGACTTACCACCGTGACGAGATGAGTCCTCGCTGCCGACACTGTCAACCACCACTGATACCCTTGCCCACCTCTGTGCCTCTTCAACGACAGTCACCCCGTCGACGACACCGTCAACCATCACTGATACAGTCTATCCTTCATCGCCTGAGCCTGCTCAATAATGGAACCCGATGGCAGCGGGTAGATTCGTCGCCAAATTGGTTTCTTCAAAACTCTTCTCCAGCGCTACTAAGCCTCTGCTAAACTGACACTCGAGGAGTGCAACATTAGCGAAGAAGCAGTCACCTTCCAACATCTCGACACTGATGAACTCGACTCACTCCGTGCTGAAATCATCCCAATCAGGAGAACCCTCTTCAGATCATATCGGAAAATCAACAAGCTGCACGATGACTGGACTGCTCTTCAAGATTCGAAACCCTGATGAGCGAACTGTCTTCGAAGAGTATATATTAAAATATGGTGACTATCGAGAAACAGTCGCCTCGTCAGTTCCCCAGTTGGAACGCCTTGATCTGCTATTGAACGACATTGATCAGGAATACGTCAAGCGGAACCTACGCATACCTTCGGAATCGTCCGACGACACCTCTCATGAAGATATCGAAACAGGTCCAACTCGTCGGAGTGAACTACCACCTCATCACGCAAACCCTCCAGGACTCCTTCACAGTCCAACGCCACTCATCCCTCATACTAGCAGAACAGCGCCTTCAAGAATTCCTGCCGACTCTTCCTTGCTTAACTTCGTCGATGCTTCAATACTAGCGAAATTGGAACTACCCACCTTCGATGGAAATCTCTTTGACTACCCTGAGTTTGCAGCACGATTCGCAACTTTGGTGGGAGATAAACCGCAACTGGACAACACCACAAAATTCTCTCTGCTAAAATCCTGTCTTCAAGGACGAGCACTTCAATCGATTCAGGGTCTCTCCATGACAGCGGAAAACTACGTCATCGCCATGATATTCTCCGCGCTCATTTCGGACGACAAAGTTACCATGAGGCACATCATATACACCAAGCTGGCACAACTACCGCCATGTGATCCAGAAGGACGTCAACTACTCAACTTGTACAATAAGATGTTCTCTCTGGTAAGACAATTCTGCAACGGAGGAGACGACTCGAGGGAAACAGGACTAGGCGCAGTACTTCTCAATGAGCTGCCTCTCAGAATACGGAGCCAAATCTACGATAAAACAAGTCAAATAATCACAACGTCTCTCTAAGCGAACTACTGCATCTACTGACTGACATCGTCCGTAAAGATTCGACTCTCCATGAAATGGACTATCATCCGAGGCTACCTCAAAGTAATCTACATCATGGTTTCCACATCAGTGCTCCACAACCGAAATATCAACGTCAAGCTGCACGACGACCAGCGTCGAAGAAAATGGGGAAGAAGTGTCAGCTCTGCACCTCGATGTTCCACACTTCAATGGACTGCAACGTCTTCTCCACACCGAGGCTACGCAGTGATCAGGCAAGGAAATTGAGCTTGTGTTGTAACTGCTTATCTCACAGCCACTCCAGCAAGGGATGCAGCTCAAAGAAATATTTTGTGGCGAAATGTGGTCGATGACTGTATCTACTCTTTACGTGTAGTTCCCCATTTTTTATTATGTTGTGGAGTTCATTTTTGGGTTGCGGTGTAGTGTGTTTTCTTGTTTGTGATTGATAATAACATTGTCCAGTTTGACGATTGAGGGAGGGCATTTTCCACTTTTTCTAATTGCCGTCGACGTGTTGAGTCAAAGTGTAGACCTGCGAAATCTTGTGAAGCCACGAAAGCATACCAGCCAAAGATTGTAGAGACTACTTTTAACTCTTGTAAGAATAGCTGTGAAGCTATGAAATACCATACGAACACTCCCTACCATGGTAGCTTGCTTGCTCCAGCTTCCAATAGCTCACAGACCTCACCAAAGTGAAACTTGTAAATCTTAATCAATGAGCAGCGGGAGTGTAAAATGCCCCTCCTCCTTAGCCGAATTGCTCCAGCAAAATTGCATGTGTGGTTACTGGTATCAAATTTCTGTCCTTGGTAAAGTATCTGTTGAAAATCTGATGTACCTATCTGTTTTTGAGCCACGGTATACTATTTCAATGCAACAAGTCAATAACTTGTTCGCTGCCGATGGAGTCGTGCCGCGAAACTCGGCTCCTTGACACACCCTCATCTGCAGCGATCAAGATTGTAAGTCAGCGTTTTCATGAGCAGTGTTAGAAAATGTGGTGTTTTTAGGACAATGTGTGCAGAATAATGCTCCACCTGCAGTACAAGGTGAGAATCATCTTGATTTCTTTATTGACAATTTGTATGGACATGTTTTCGATGAGAGTTCAGTAAATTGGTTTGGTTTTTTGTTGGGCCCCTCCATGAAAACCGTGATTTTTCTCACATACAAGTGCGTATGACTGCGAAACCTCTTCTTTGATATTTCAGCGGGTACCCAGTGTCTGAATGTTGTCGTTCTGGGTGGAAAAGTCACTTATGACGCTAATGGGACACATCAGGTTTGAAGATTTTACGTGCTCTCATAGAAAATATTACTGAAGGTTGCCGAGAAAGAGAATGCGCTGAGCGCTCGCAGATTGTGCTAGTATCTGGGACCAAAAGAGAAGCTGTACTGCCTTTGGGAGTGGTAAGGATATAGTCGGGTGAGAGACTACCTGCTGGATTTGTTTTCCGTGAACCGAATCGCGAACTGGCTAGTAAAAACTGTGACAATCAGGGCACTTCAAGTTGTTGACTTTTTCATGTTTTCCCGTTTCACGTGGGTCATGCCCGTCCCCGATGCCCACCCTCCCTCACCCCACGGTAGTTCTCTGGAAACTGGAGAAATTCTTGAAAAAAAAACAGCAAAAATGGTTGGAAGAGGGCAGAAGGAATACGGTATATAGGATAGCAGTGAGGAAAGGAGAGCGTAGAGGGGGAGACCCTTGAGAGGGATCGCATTTTGCGAAGTTCTCACCCAACGGACTGGGTGAAATACATGGTGTCATCGGGGGAGGGTGGGTGTAGAAAGAACCTCGCGCTTGCTGCGCATCATCAGAATTCACATTGCACTTCACCTGCTGTTAGTCCTTATCCACCATATCAGACCATGCCGCGTATTCCTGCTCTCAATCGCTTTCCTTTCTGCTGGTCGCTGTGATCATCTAAAACTCATACGAGCTTCACTTGCTGATTGCTAATGTACACTTTTAAGTGGAACAAGCCTGATGGTGCAACAGTCACAGTTGAATGTAACCGAGGTTTTGAGCTGAACGGCCCCTCTCAAGCCAAATGCTCGAATGGCATGTGGACCACCAACTCTGGGAATTTGCCTACTGAAAACTTGCACCAGATTATGTGAGTGACATCTAAATAATCCAGATTTCGCTGATATACTTATACTATATTTTTTAGTGCCGCCCGTGCAGCCATGCTCTGCTTTAGCGGCTCCTGCTGGCGCTTCACTCACTTATTCGAATAGCAGCAGTGCCCAGTTGTTTGCATCAGGGACCTTGGCCATAATGAACTGCACAACCGGCTATCCCGAAGGTAAAACACTGATTCATCTGTGCATGTGCAGGCGCCTTTGGAGAAGTGAATACCATTGAACAGATGCTCTGAAAGCTTGACTTTCACCAGGGTCGTAGGGAACAGAAACATGCCTATTCTACGGGTACATTATACCTTTTCCATACCTGAGCAGGTTACCCTAAGGCTGTGCAGGCAGTTTGTTGAATTCCCCATCTTGAAGTTTG